ACCTTTCGCTTACAAGCGCACGGTCACTCCACTGCACAGCAAAATCCTGCAAAGCGCTTTGAAACCTCTTGCCGATGTGAGAGGGCACTTTATCAAATTGCAAAGGATTACTATTGTTACTCTGCTCATTAAATATGCAGCTCCCTTATGCACTCCACCAGTTCTGGTATAATTCTGCTGCAGGCAATTCCATGCTGCCCTTGGTTCACGAAAAGGCAAAGATTCCCACACACAACATGGTGTCCACCCAATCTATGCCCAATATCAGGGTTATGAGGAATTTCAGCCCATGTGGGATACTAATTTCTATCAGCCTTTAATGGAGCAGTGAAACTGCACATCTTACTTCAGTGTTCTTCACTTTGTACTTAAAATGTACGATGTAACTGCAGTGAAATCACTTTTGTTTCAATGTTTTTCTAGGACTGCGAGATTACATCCCAGAGGAGTTTTACACTGTTTACAGTCTAATTGCAGCTCATGCGAAGCCAAGTTCCGAAACATTGCTGTTTATCTGCTGAATACTTTTACCATAGATAGAGAGGACTTGCGTTTTCATAACATTTTACCACGTCAAAATATCTCAAAATGCTTTAGAGTAATTACTGTCAAGTACATTGATTGTTTTTGAAAGCAAATTCAGCTGCCATGTTGTGAACAGCAAGATCCCGCATACCTCCAGAAAATATCATCTCTTCTGCCCCATCTGTGTGGAGTCCTGTAACGTACTGGGTAGATCACGCGCCTCAAAGGCAAGAGGACCTGGGTTCGATTCCCGGGCAGGGCGAAACCTTAGGCAAGTTTCCTTACACACCTCTGCTTACCTAGCGGTTGTTAGACGATTGGTGGATGGCTTTTCCGGAGGTAATAATCTTTTTTAAAAAATAATAATAATTCGGTCACTCAATCCACCACTGAGGGACGCTGCTGTTCGCAGTTGGCTGCTGAATTTCGCCCACAACATATACAGTCAATTCACTTTGCAGTAAATTCTGTGAAGCTCTTAGAGGTGTCTCATCGACATGATACGTTGCTCTATCAAATGCAAAGATTACTATTATTATCCGAAAAACTGGCGTCTTTGATGTTAGGTCAAGATTGTCTCAGGTTTTCACCGTCTTTTGAGTTATAGGCAGTTTCAGTCATGTGAGTCTGAATATTTGCTACCTGGGAGTTGCAAGTGAAGGAAAGGACCGTGTTTGACGTCAATGAGCCAATTCTGTCCTCCTGCCGTGGTAAAAGCAGCATCTCTTCTATTTATTCTATGTCTCACATTTGAAACCATGAATGGGTTGCCTAGAAAAAGCAAATGTTACAGGTACAGTATGAAATTCGTCACTGTGAAATGATGGTTTGTGTATCACCTGGCTTAGTTGGTGGCAATCTCGACTCTGAGACAGAAGATTATTGGGTCAAGCCCCATGTTGGGACTTTGAACTCGTTGACTAGGCCGACCCTCCAGTACAGTGCTGGGGGAGGGATTGGTACATTGATGGAGGTGCCATCCTTTGGGTGAGACATTAAACCGAAGTCTCTTCTGTCTGTTCAGGTGGGGGTCACAGATCCCGTTGCACCATTCAGTAAGAGAAGGAATCCTAAACAGTCTTAACATGAAATCGGTGTTTCACTTCATGGGTGTGTGTGGACCATCACTGTGTGCAAATTGGCTGCTTTGTTTGCCTACAAATCCACAATCTCTATAATTTACGGTATGTCCTGTGAAGTCCTTTGAATTGTCCTCTTAACGTGAGTGGCACTGTACTAAATAGAAAGACGTTTTTTTTCAGCGTTGAAACTGTAATTGATTAATAACACAATGGTATACCGTGTATTCATTGCGATATTACAACATGGTACAGGGAAGGTGTTTTGTCAACCTATATATCTTCAATGGATCCTTGCAATTTGTATGCAGGACTTTGCCTGGCAATTGCCAAATAAAGAATTGTCGCGATAGCAACGGGTTGAGGAATTCTAGCGGAAACCTATGACCTCCCACTGCATGGCACAGATCATTAAACACTACCTTATTGTAACATAGTGTTACCTTTTGGTATTGTTTCTTGTTGTTCAAAAAGGGGAGTGTCCGAGACAACAATCCTCTTGTCAATTGGTCATCAGCCTCATGATTGCTTGTGGGAAATTGTGGGAAATGGGGTCTTAAGCCAGTGGAGCCGGGCGGGCGAGGGTGGGGGGGTGATAGGGTCAACGGAGCCCGGCGCGGGAGAGGGACAAGAGCTCCAGAGTTCTGAATAATCTGCAGCTTGTGGAGGGGACAGTGGGGAAGTCCAGAGAGCAGGGAGTTCGCTTGGTCAAGCTGCGAACTCTGGTCATGTGTTTACACTTCATTTACATATGACTTTGACGCAAAGGATATGTAAAAGTAAAATGGATTGAGCGCTTTTTTAAAATAAGAGGGGGAAAGGCACCCATCCGCACAGAGCATTGTCCTCCTGACGTGAAAGGCGCGATATAAATGTAATTTGGTTGTTGTTGTTGTGGTTGTAATGGATTACGGGGCCCTGTAGCTCAGTGGTTCGATCGCTCGCCTCGCAAATGAGAGGACCTGGGGGGGTGAAACCTTAGGCAAGTTTTGTTACTCCACACGCCTCTGTTGACCTCACAGTAAGTAGGAACCCGGTTATTAGTTGATTGGCGGATCACTTTAAATGTTTTAAAAAATGGTCACTCAATCCACGACTGCTTGTGGGACGCTGCTGCGCCCGATGGGCTGCCGAGTTTCGCCCACAAACTACACAGTCAATTCACTGTCCAGTGAATCCTGTGAAGCGCTTTGAGACGTCTCAACGATGCGATAAGTGCAAGGATTATAATTATTAATGTGATCAAAATGTCAACCTCTGATTATTTTGGTTCTCTCTGTCGTGCTTTCACCCAAAACTCTGGAACACTCTCCCTCAGTCCCTCAGCCTTGCCGCCCCCCCACCCCCCCCCCCCCCCCCCCCGCCCTCTCCTTTTTCAAGTCCCGCCTGAAAACCTTCCTCTTCGACCGTGATTACAGCCACCTCCCCTCCCCTCCCGCCCCCCCACCCACCCCCCCACCGCTACATAAGTGCAAGTTGTTGTTGCTGGGAGAGAAACATTTCACTGGAGCAGAAGTTACCATTGATGAAAAAAAAACACACGCGCAAATCCCAAATAATGCAATAAATGGGTAATTGGAGGCTGAGCCGCCCAAGTTAGCAACGCTCAGCCTTTACACCGGGACCGAGGTCTTCGACGGAGCACAAGGAACCTTCAATCACAAGGCGAGGCGTCTCGGAACAGTGTGACAAAACCTTTCTTCAACACAACATCAAAAGTTCTTTGTATTGTCAAGTTCAACCCAACCTCCCAACCCTCCCTCCCTCCCTCCTTCTCTCTCTCTCTCTCTCTCTTCTTCTCTCTCTCTCTCTCTCTCTCTCTCTTTTAAAGCAATGTCAAGCATTGCACAGCAGAGAAAGTGGTTGGTTGTTGGATGCAAAGTCGGATGCAAACCTGAGAGGCAAATCAGTCCACCAGAGACCAGGTTGTGAGCAGAGTGGAGATGGAGGGAGAGAGATTGCATGTGTCAAGTCGATGGGATATTATTTGGGGAACAAAATAAAGCAGAGGGGAGAGAGAGAGAGAGGAGAGAGAGAGAGGAGGGGAGTGGGGGAGAGAGGAGAGAGGGAGGAGAGGAGAATCTGATCATCAGGGGGTGGTTTGATGTATATTGATATGTTGATATATTTAGATGTAGATTAAAAAAACACAGTCAGTTCAATAGGAACTTGTGTTGCACTGTGCAGATGAGCTCCATGTTATATGGCAAAGGCTCTTTAAGTTGGAGCTGAAATTGCACTGAAGGCTTTTGGCCAATTTTCCTTTACTGTACATCGCTGATCTGTGTGTGTGTCGGTGTTAACAGAGAGGAGGAGAGAGGAACAGAGAGAGAGAGAGAGAGAGACAGAGAGAGAGAGAGAGGGGTAGAGAGAGAGAGAGGTAGAGAGAGAGAGGGGGGTAGACAGAGAGAGAGAGAGAGAGGGGTAGAGAGAGAGAGAGAGGGGTAGAGAGAGAGGGGTAGAGAGAGAGAGGGGTAGAAGAGAGAGAGAGAGGAGAGAGGGGTAGAGAGAGAGAGAGAGGGGTAGACAGAGAGAGAGAGAGAGAGAGGGGTAGACAGAGAGAGAGAGAGGGGTAGACAGAGAGAGAGAGAGGGGTAGACAGAGAGAGAGAGAGAGAGAGGCACAGACACACACACACACAGAGGGATAGACAGAGAGAGAGACACCAGAGAGAGAGAGAGAGAGGATAGACACAGACACTTAGATACAGAGAGAGAGAGAGAGAGAGAGAGAAAGGGAAAGGAGAGAAAGAGAGAGAGAGAGACGCAGAGAGAGAGAGAGAAGAGGGGAAAAGAGAGAGAGAGAAAGGAGAGAGAGAGAGAGAGAAAGGAGAGAGAGAGAGACGCAGAGAGAGAGAGAGAGAGAGAGAAGAGAGGAAAAAAAGCGAAGGAGAGAGACAGAGACAACGTAGAGAGGGAGAGAGAAGGAAGGAAGGAAAAAAGGGGTAAAGATATAACACAAACTGATAGCCAGAGGATGAAGTCTGAAGCCAATGAAGTTGTTGACGGTTCTGCATTGCAAAGCCTCCCCACCAGCCACCAGGAGTAGGTACAGAAGAAGAGAAGAAAGGAGAGAGAGAGAAGAGAAGAGAAGAAAGGAGAGAGAGCGAAGAGAAGAGAAGAGAAGAAAGGAGAGAGAGCGAAGAGAAGAAAAAGGAGAGCGCGAGAGAAAGAGAAGAGGAGAAAGGAGAGAGCGAGAGAAAGAGAAGAGGAGAAAGGAGAGAGCGAGAGAAAGAGAAGAGGAGAAAGGAGAGAGCGAGAGAAAGAGAAGAGGAGAAAGGAGAGAGAAGAGAAGAGAAAGGAGAGAGTGAGAGAAAGAGAAGAGGAGAAAGGAGAGAGCGAGAGAAAGAGAAGAGGAGAAAGGAGAGAGCGAGAGAAAGAGAAGAGGAGAAAGGAGAGAGCGAGAGAAAGAGAAGAGGAGAAAGGAGAGAGAGAAGAGAAGAGGAGAGGCTGATGTTGGTTGGTGTTGGTTGGAGGAGACAAGAGAAGGAGAGAGAGAGAGAGAGAGAGCAACACTGGTACAGTAATGTGTCTTGTCCTGTGTGTGGTGGTGATGATGATGATGATGATGGCGGTGGTGATGGTGTGATGATGATGATGATGATGATGATGAGCACGGCCTAGGATGATGTTCCCGCTTGGCTTTCAGCACCGTATCGCCTTGTGTTTCGGTCGGGGACTTCCCTCTCGCTCTCTCCGGTATTTGCTTCCCCATCACCGTTAGAAAGCAAGAGGCCATTCGAGACGACGGTGAAGAGTTAAAGCCGGAGCCCGGGACCTTGCGTAACCGGCCACCATGTCGAATTCGCTGTAACTTTTCCCCCCCCTTTCCCGCCCCCCACCCCTTTTTTTTGGGTTCCTGCCCAATTTTAGTCCCGTTGATTTTTCGCCATCGCTCTCTCTCTCCCTCTCTCTCTCTCTCTCTCTCTCTTTCCATCTCTATCTCTCTATCTAGAAGCGACAGGAACTTTTTATTGTCTTTATTGTTTGTGGAAGCACGGCCATGACTTCTTCCGAGCCGCCTTTGTTCCGGGGCAAAGCCGGTTGCGGCTACGAAAAGGTGTCGGCCTGCAACGAGCGCAACGGTTACGTCAGGAGCTGCGTGACCCCTCTCCGCAGGGACCAGCGAGGGTGCACCCTGTGGGGCAAGATGTTGCGAAGGTTCCTGAGCGTCCGACTGGTCTCCTCAGCCGTCTGCGTGGGAACGCTCGCCTTGCTGCTGGCTGTGCTGATGAGGTTCGTCAACGGGGAGAGAAGCAGCCCCGATGGCGATCACGACCATGATGCCACCGCCGACGAGGGCAGCGAGGACAATGGCGGGCGCCAGTCTCCTTCGGAAGCCTTGCTGGTCACTTTGCTGCACTCGGCCGTGCCTCTCTTCAGTTTGATGAGTGCCTTTTTCTGGATGGGTTTGTACTTGATCCGCTGCGGGAAAGCCAAGATCACCGTCTGGCTCCTGGTGGCTTGTTACCTGGGGGAGACACTGCTCCAAGTCGTGCTGGTGGGCGAAGACCAGCTCCTGTCCTTCACGGCCACAGCAGTGGTCCTCACCTCCTTAGCCGTCGCCACCTTGATGGTCCTCAGACTGAAAGAAGGCGCTTGCACCATGATCTTCACCAGCATGGTGAGGACTGTCTCCCTCATGTCTCTGGATAGGGTCAGGGCCAGCTGGAGGCCATTCCTTGCTTATTTGATGGGGATTTTGGGAATCGCTCTGGCCAGGTACACAGTCAGCTTCTTGCCGCAGGCGGCCCCCAGAGGCCCAATGTCCGCGACGGAGGAGAAGATCCCAGTTCTTAAGAGGAGAAGGAGGTCCAGCTCTGTTATTGCCGCAGAGATCTCGAATTGCCAGCCCAGCTCCAAACCCCACAGGAGGACATCACTTCCGTGCATTCAAAGGGAACAGGTAAGGAACGGGGCGTTTGTTGTCCGTTACCTAAGAAGCATCGGGAAAAAGTTACTGCGGTAGCTTTCGAAGGGGAATTGGAGAGGTGCTTTGCAAAGGAAAACGTTTGCAGGGTTATGGGGTAAGAGCGGGACGAGTTGAGTAGCTCTTGTCAAAGAGCCGGCATAGGCACGATGGGCCGAATGGCCTCCTTCCGTGCTGTAGGATTCTATGATTCTACGCAGTCGCTTACAGCTTCAATTACACGAGTTGTGATTAACTAATTCATTCATTCATAGCCCCCCCCCCCCCCCCTCCACCCACCACTCAAAAATATTACACTGACTGCATCACTCCCCGTGACATAAATGGTCGAGGAGTTTTATCATGTCATCTCCGATGGAGTGTTTTTCTTGTTGGTGGGTCTTTTTCTTTCATCCACGTCTGAACCTACTTTTTCTGCAGATACCATAACTATTATTTATCACTCATGATTAATAGCTCTCACCCAACCACTTCCCCGCTGAAGAAAATATCTTTCCACAGTGGAAATTACAGGGGAAGGCTTGACCACATTAACTGGAAGCCAAATACAGAAATATGTTATTGTATTTTGCTCTTAAAATTTCTTTAATCTGAAACCTCAATTAGGATTAAATTACACAAACGCACATCTGGGGTTTTATCAAGTGCCCATAGCGCACCTGACGTGGAAAGTAAATATTTTTTATATAAGTGGTTCGGAGAGGAAGTTCTTTATAAAACAGTTTTCAAATGCTGAATGGTGTGCAAATATCCACCCAAACCACGCAGTCACAAACAGCCAAAAGGACACGATTTCAGATATAATGGCGAGATTTATATTTGCATTTCACATTCTTTTGCTGGCGTGGAGGACTTTTTGCTAAAACAAAATAAATTAACGTGTAGTTCTGCTGCTGGAATGTGTGCTTTTGCGAAAGAACTTTAACTAAATTGAGGGGGAAAAAAATAGGATATAGGGAACCACAAAGGTCACAAAGAAAAGTTCACCTTGCACAGAATTATTTAACTGGATTAGGGACAGGTTGGAAGTAATAGAGGGAACAAGGAAATAATTACTGTTTGTAGGATTATCTCCATTACATCACTGTAAAATACACACACAAAAAAGGAAAATAAACATGCAGTTTGGAAACGTGTGTTTATTGAGGTATTTGTGTCTGTTGGGCTACTAAAACAATTTTATTTAAGCATAATGATAACTTCTCAGATAACCGTGAAAGATCTAGGAAAGATGCAGGGATATAAAGTATGGTGATCTTGCACGTTCCAGCCATCAAACATGAAGAATCCCGAGAAGAAATATCACAAATCTGAAACCTGCGGCAACACAAGTATAAATCTCGCCATTACTTCTGAATTTGTGTCCTTTTGGGTGTTATGACTACATGGGAAATAGTTTTGGTGGCTGTGCATACCATTCGTTTCCATCTTGGGCAAGAAATATAAAAGCGTTAAGAACTCTCTGTAATCCACAAAAAAATAAACTAGCAATTTGGATTTAATTTTGCTGCTCAAAATAACAGGCACTTGTAGGGGAGTTTGTTCCATCACCATACGTTTCTTTCATTTATTTCTAATGAATAACTCACATTTGTGTGGACGAACTAAAACCTATCGAACGTTTGCAATGTAGAGATTCTTGAGATGTGTTTTTATCGTCTGATCAGTGAGTTAATCCCTTAAGTTGTGGTCACTGGAAGGGAAAAAAAGATATTATTTATTAATAGTATGTGCTGCAGAATTCTCGTGTTTTCTCTGGCTTTTTCTTAATATGATTGTGCGGTAAGGAACACACAGAAGTAAACTAGTTTCACAGAAGTTTTTCCCCACCCAAGTGCTCGGGACGCTACCAAGCTCTGTATAAATGCAAATTGTTGTTGTCGTCGTTGTTTTTTAACATGAACAACTTCAGTCATAATAATCCTAGTAATGTAGGAGTTGAAGGTATAAAGACATCTTGGGGCCACGACGGTAACGTTACCAGTTCTGTGTCCAGCTGGAGAATAGCACATGTATTACAAAGGGATACTGTATGGATAATGCAGTCAAGCGAATTGACTGCACATTTCGTGGGCGAAAGTATATTTCCAATTGTCAGTAAGGTAGTTGCACCCCAGCGACTGTCACACTCAGAGCAAGGCCCCAACCCACATATTATTTAATACTTAGACTCCCTTCGTGTGAAATAAACCCAAGCAGACTTGGCAATTTGTACAGTCGTCTTACTGTCACAACCATACGTTGCACAGTCCACGCACTATCTTTATTAACCGTAATGAACCAGAGAGATAAACGTGGTGGAACGAATCGGAATGTGAATTTAAACTCTCGTTTTTTTTTTCTGTTCTCCGAATCCAAAGTTCGGACTCCGGGGTTGTTTCTGCAGAGCAGCTCTGCAGGGTTTGAGCCGCACAATACCTGCCTTGAAAGGACTTGAAACTGCACTTGCCAAAGCAGACCAGTGAGTGTCCTCAAAGGCTCAAACTGAGCAGAGGACACTTCCAGATACACCCAAAGATAGTGACTTGTGTCAGTTCAGATGACTTCAGAAAATGAAGCGTCTCGATCCATCTCTTCTATCCACCGTAAAGATAATGTCTCGTTTTTCGACAAATCGCTTCAGCTGAAATGCTTATGGAACTTATCCTCGATTGATAATTAATAATGATAATCCTTGCATTTATACAACAACAACAAGATTACATTTGTATAGCGCCTTTCACGTCGGGAGGATGTCCCAAGGCTCTGAATATAGCGCCTTATCGCGTCTTCGAGACGTCTCAAAAGGCTTCACAGGATGTACCGTAAAGTGGATTGACTATTATTTTTGTGAGCGAAACAATTTAAGGAAAGCTTTTGGATATTATTTTGATTTTAATATCCAAACGTTTGAGAATGATTTGTTATCTTAAAACAAGCAGTGAGTTTGTGTGTTTTCTTTTTGAAAATAAACATCTGGGTGCTGCAGTTACAATGGGTATTCTGGGATGAGATCAAATCATTCTTGATTTTACCAGTGGTGTGTCAAAGGTATTCTCCTTCAGTTGTGACATTCGCCCACAAATATACAGTCAATTCACTTTACAGCATATTCTGTGAAGCGCTTTGAGACGTCGAGAAGACGTGAAAAGCGCTATATCAAATGCAAGGATTTTTATTATTATTATTTTATTAACTGTGGGTCCCGTCTACCTATTCGGATGGATATTAAAGATCCCTTTGCACTACTCAAAAATAGAAGGGAGTTTCTTCCAGTTTCCTGCTAACAATCCCCCAAATAAAATTGGACATTCGCATCATGAGAGTTTGCGGAACATTGCTCTGCACAAATTGGCTGCCGCATTCGACTGCAAAATACAAAGTCCGTACACTTCACAGGAAATGCTACGGTTTGAGAACTCCTTCCAACATAAAAAGCCAGATGTGAAATAAAGCTTAATCTGTATCAATAAAGCTCGCTAACCCCAAACTTCAGAAGATTAAGTATTTTTTTCAACTTCTCACATCAGTAGCGTTTACGATCTGGCTTATCTGATACGATGGGTAATCCTGTACAGACTTGGGCTGAATTCTGGGTGTCCTGTGTTGTTACATCTGTGCTGATTAGGTACCGAATGTTCACTCAATTTCACACCTTACAGGCCCTTACAAAGACATTCATCCTATCATCCGAGGTCATCTTTCACTCTAGATACCAACGGTGGCTCAGCGGGCTCCAGGCCTACTCCACGTCCCCCCGCCCAGCCCGCCCCACCATCGACGGACTGGCCTTCAGCCTCACTGCCCCCATCCTTTGGAACTCCATCCCACATTCCCTTTGCCTCCATCCCTTCCTCCCTCCCTCCCTCACCTCCTTCAAGACCTGTCTCAAGAACCTCCTCTTCGACCGGGCAGTCGGTCACCCTCCTAACCCCACCCTCCTCTCCCTCCACCCCAGCCCTCACCCCAACCCCGATCCCAACCCCAGCTCGGGTCCAAATCCCTGACTGTGCGGCTCCTTGGGACGTCCTCAGGAAATGAAGGGCGCTATACAAATGATTTTGTTGTTGTGGTTGAAAGAGAGGTGTGCAGTGTGGAAAATAATTTGAGTGTATTTTACATAAAATCGAGTCGAGGGCTCCAACCACTAACTACAGGACTCCATGTTATCCGGTGAGACTTGAGAGAGAATGAATTGGATTCTCTGTCTGGTTTACCTGCGATCATGTGAGGAAGGACCTGAAATTCTCTCTGTGTTTCTTTAGTCAACACCTCCTGATAGCCTGGTTATGGCTTCGGGGCTTTCCGATAGCACTTCTTTTTAAAGTTGTTTTTGTATTGGCGTTTCAGAGTTATTTTATTTAAACCATAGGATTTCAAGTCCACGTGGCTCTCCTGATGAGGATTTTCTGTGGGGGAAATAAAATAATATGCAGCAATCAACAAACAAAAGCAACATTCAGAATGAATGTCAACTCAAGAGAAGCTGTGTGTGATCAGAACTGGCGAGAGAGAGGGAGAGAGAGAGAGAGAGGTTTAAATACACATTTGCCAGTCACAATATTCCTGTGGTTTGTCATTCGAGCTGCTTAGACTGTCAGTGACATCAGTAAAACTATTGCTTTGGTTTCACCGAGCTGCTGGGTGGGGGGAAGAGATTCCCTGAAGGTCAGTAAGTTTATATCCGTTGCTGGAGGAGAACAGCATATTTAAGTCCTTCGCTCTGTAAATTTACTGGCTTTGGTGGTGTGATTTTACGATGGCAATATCCCTTTGTAAGCTTACACTGTCAAGGTCTGTAAATTTATTAACCAGAGGAGTATAAGGTTTTCTCACCCAGAAAGTTATGCAAAACTTTCAGACCTTTGCAGAATTGGCTCTCTGGTGTTGTCATCCAGATTTAGTACTTCTGATGAGACAGGGTAAGTGAAGCTAGGCCTTGGGGAAGAGGAAAGTAAACTCTGAGTCAAAAAGCCGGGGAGGGAGTTTGAACACAC